AATGTTGATCACGTAGATATATAAATAATGACTTATAGCTATGATATAAAATTAGAAAAGTATCATCTTAATGTCTTTATGCTAACTGTTTTGGAGAAAACAAAACCTCCAACAATGGTAGATGAAGATAGAGAAAGTAAAATAAGACTTGTAATGAAAAAAATAATTTAAAAAAGTTATTAAATAATATTAACTTTCAAATTTTAAATTAAAGGTCTATTTAGTAATAGTAGGTATAGGTTTTTTTAAGGATTGATAAATAAAGTTTTTATATGTCTTTAAATATAACTTTTTTATTTACGATTTTGCTTTGTAAAATTCTTTAAATTTATGACCGCTCCTTATTTCTTTTTCTTCTCTTTTTCAATTTGCCATCTACCCCTTGAGCAAGGATACTTTATTCTGTGAAACATGCACGAAACTCAATACATTTGAGTATCAATATACATTAGATTTACTTGGATATTTATGCCTTAAATATTGGCTTAGACCAATTTTTCTTCTAAATTAGGAATTATTTTATTTTTCTCAATTTTTTCATATTTATTTAAAATCTTTAATCTTTACTCGTGAGCTGAGATACTGGTTTGTTAAGTTCTTTTACTGTTGACGTTTCCACACTTTAAACATATTTTTAATTTTATTCGTTATAAAGTTGATTTCAAAATAATTTTTAAGAATTAAACATCTTATAGTTTATAATTTAAATATGTTTTTAACATAATTGGTAATAAAACTTAATTTTTATACCAATCTACATCATTTACAGTCTCTGTTACAGTAAGTTTTGGATAAAACTCTTTTCCAATTGAAATGGTCGTTGCTACTCCCTCACCCAATTTTCTTCTATCCACGTCGACTATTTGCTTGTAATATCATATCACAAAGGTCATGACGATGACACATTTGCATAGGATGTGTGGTGGCATATTATTTGTAGATGTTATCCATGCAAATAGAATGCAAGGAAGAGAGCGTAGCACACGTACTTTTGCCCTTACGTGCTGTGTTCATACTACTCTGCATTTCAGCATTATATGCTACTACATAATACATATCCTCAATATCTAGATAAATCCAACTGGTAGGAAAAAGGAACTTCAAATTAAAGTACTACTTTTCTTTTTTGGAGGAGGTGGTACAAATGTCCAAAAATGTTAATAATATTTTAAATATTCTCTTAATTATTAATTGAAATTAAATGTTACAAAGTTTATATTGATATCTTTTTTTTTATTTAATGATTCTTATTTATATTTTTGTTATTTATGATAAATTTTTCTTATATTTACCTTTTCCTGGGCCACCTAAGAACCAATGCATTTAGCCCAAAGGATGGGATTCCTAGGCCACACCCAAGAAAATGAAACAACAGAAAGCCGTTTTAGCCCAATAATAAAGAATCACTACATATATACGGGGTAAGGGAGTTGATATTTCTCCTTCCATTTTAAAGTATGAGATGTATATTTAACATTTTAAATATTTTATTAATATTTGTTTGTCACTTATGTTAAATAATAAAAGGTCTTACTTTAGTGGCTTAATAACAAATTAAATGATATATAAATAAGAGTTTTTCAAATTTAAATTATTTTAGATAAGTAGATCATTCAAGCTTAAATTTGACAACTCTTTCTCATTTTTGAATCGGGTTCACACTCAGAATTTTAACATGATATTCGAGTTTTGATAAAAATAAAAATAAAAATATGAAAAGCCTAAAAAAATAAATATATTAATAAAATTTTAGAAAAAAAAGACCCATGGTATAGGGAGAGGCTCAAAACTTGAGGTTAAAAACTCAAAAAATGATTAAAATGCATCTCACTACTAAGAAAGCTACGAGTTAGACAATAAAAAAGTCCTATATTAATGTTAACAAAAAATCAAAGAAAAAAAAGAGCAAGATGACTTCAATCTTAAATTATTTGAGACATTTTAGAGAAATATATCACTCAATCACTTAAAGTCAATCTCTCTCTCAGATTTTACTCACATTCCAAGATCCTAACAGCATATTTTTTTTATCTCTTACAAGTTAGTTAAATTTATCTATTTTCTTTTATTTTCAATTTTGATGTAATTCATTTATGAAATAAATAATCATGCTATATATTATTAGAATTAAAGAATTTTATTATTTTATTATATTTATATATTTTATTATTTATTTCATAAATTATTAAATAAAGAAATTCCTCAATTTAATTTTTTTATTCTTATTGATTTTATTCATATATGTATTATAATAGATTCTACATAATATTAAATATTTTTTCAACATAATATATTCTCAAATAGTAATAGTTCTCTTGGTAAATCTTTTGAGACATTCTTACTCAATGCTTTATAAAGCACGCTGATTATATGAATAATTACATTATTAATATAATTGTTGAACTGATAAAATAATTCATATTATCAAATAAGATTGATAAAATAATTAATAATTTTAATTTTAAAATTTATCATATAAGTACTGAAAATAGGATTTTTATTATTGAATCACATTAAACATCTTTTTCATATCTTTCTCAACTTAGCTATTTTTTTAATTTTTTCTAAATATATGATGTGTTAATACATGTGACAGAGTTTGACTAAATATTTGTTAACCTAATCAATAACTATCTAATGCAAAGTTAAAAATAGAGACAAAAATAAAAATTTAAGAAAGATAAGTCAGAACTCCATGACATTTTATTTAGTAGAAGAAAGTATACAAAGAAATTTAACCAAATGTATTTTAGTTTAATAATATAGGAATTGATTTAAGTGTGAATATAATATAATATAATATAATATAATGTAATATTAAGTAACAGATTCTCACCAACTAGTCTTTGTCTAAAAAATGTGACAGTTTCATAGTTTCATTATTTGAAAATTGAATAGTATTAGTCAAGTTAGCTAATGAGAAGAATATATACCATACAGCTTATCGCACAGTGGCACCACATGCGCACAGCACAACCTCGTAATGAAAACTTACGTTATCGTTGATATTTGGCATTGAAGAGTTTCCTTGAAAACCTAGTATAATTTTCTTATGTCAAAAGGCTCTTAAATCTAATAATAAAGCAGCCGTTGACAGAATCCACATTAATTATGAGATTGTTTTTCTACCTGAGCAATAACACATTATATTAGCATTAAATAGTCGCCAAAATTACAATGAAAAAACCAATAATTACAAAATTATTGGATATTGACATTTCAGGAGTCACATGTTCCCCATACTTATTTTGGACACTAACATCCCCAAACATGCAGGGAATGCTCTTACAACGCTAACCACCCTAACATACATGTCCAATTAGGAACCGCAAGCACGTGGCCACGAAATCTCGATCTTCTGTGATTCCACCATTTGTTAATTATGTCCTCAGACAAAACTTTGCTCCAAAATCATAGTTGGCTTCTCAGAAACTCCCATCAAAATGCCAAAATCTTCAGCCATTTGCAAAGTATTTTTTAAACCATGTTCACATGATCCCATAAGTATAACAGCGCAATACTTTAATATACAAACGCATTTTTTTTAAGCAATATGCAGATGTCATCACATGCGTTGTTTAATATACAAATGGATTCTTGGGTTTATCCTATTAGCCGTGGATAAGGTTTGGGGTTACTCTCAGCTTCGTTATCAATTATCATATCCAATACCGCGTTGACAAGATCATGATGGCAAGTTTCCATATCTACATTAAAGCTCTAAACTATATATTAACTTAATTAGGGGATATTTACGAGCTGCCACAAGCAAATACTGATTTTCTACATTGCAGTCATTAGATTTGGAATTCGATGTTGAGTTATTCAACCATGGAAAAACGTTTAAAGGAAAAGTTAATCCTACTTCAACAGTTGACTATTAACACACATCTGACATGTGTAATATATTCAATCAGAATTAAACTTTGTCTTTTTTGCCAAGACAACCACAAATTAATTCAGAAGAGAGATAAAGAAGGAGTAGTACGAAATATAGCAAATTAGCAATGCAGGGAACAACACATTTGTCACTGAAATGAAATCTAGGCTCGGGATACTTACGGTAAGCGTATTAATTCATATATAGGAACAGTTCTTAATTTTTCACAAGTCAAATCGTTTGAAAATTATGTTGTTATCTCTTCCTTGTAGGCGTTAAATAGGTAAGGTCTTTCTATATCTATAAATATTTTTGAAAATAGAAATATATATAATTTTCACGCATCAAATGAAAACATCTCTACTTTCTGATGAAATCCATTAACGAGAGAAACTATAAACATATGATTATACAGTTTCATTATTTGAATATTATTAAACTGATATTAAATATGATGTTATATACAATTATTTTTTATTTATTCTTATGTATTTCAAAGGTATATTCTAAAGTAACTATTTTCCTATGATGGTATTCATGTCTTTTAGAGTATCCTTGATAACACAAGTTAATAATTTATTCAAGAGTTTATAACTTTTGTCGTTATTAATAAGTTAAAAAATATTTGATAAATTAAAAAATTATAACTTTTAAAAGCTCATAAAAAAATAGCACTGAGCTTATTAAAAGTTGTTTTTATTTTATTTTATCTTTATTTTTCACCTTTTAAATAATTTACATTAACACAAAATAATTTTAATAATTCTTTTTCAGTCATTCAACATATTTTAACCGTTGTACAATTAATTTTACTTAATAACTTTAATTCAATTAACTAACTATAAGGTATAAATTTTTTACTAACTTATCAACGTCAAGTTATAAGTTTTAAGGCAGTGTTATTGACGAGAGTCGCAATCAAGTAAAATCTGATAGGATTAAACAAGGGAAAAAAGAAGAGTGAAAAGAACAGAAAAGATAAAGGCAAGGTCACGAAGGATGAACATTGGATTTTTTTGAACATTTTTGTATGTGCATGCATATTAACCTGAGCAGAAGTTTCTACTGTTTCCCTGCATGTCAATGAACAGTTTTTTCTGACATAGAGACATATGTGGGTAAACAAAGTAATGGTTGTGACAATTACAATTTAGTTTCTTTTCAGTCCCAATTTTGACCACTTTCATCATTGGCATATTATCAATGGAAAGGAAAAGAAAAAGTGTACAAGGACACACACACACACATAACACACATAGTGAGAGAGAGAAATGACATGAAAGTGGGGGGTGAAAATGGACTTTGCAAGATGCCAGAGATGTGAATTGAAAGTGGGTGACAGTGATCACACATGAAATGTGTGTAAGGACTACACTGATCCACTCCCGCTCCTTCCCTTGTCATGAACAAAGAAAATCGACAATGTCCCATTCACGAGAATGACCATTTCCAACTCTCCTTGTTTTCTTCCCACCCTTTCCATCTCCTTGTCCTCTTTCTTTCTTGGAATGTGTGTTTGATTCCCTTTCTTTTTTAATGTGTACTTTGTCAAGCTCCACTGGATTTTGTTCATCCTTTTCACTCATTCATGAAATCAACACAAATCTTTACGTGGTCTTTAGCTTCACACTTGGCACTTGCAAGAAAATTTTGCTCAGCAGTATAAAGGTTTGATTCAAAAGAAAGCAAAGATAGTAGGACTTAAAGAAACAACGGTAAAATTGTAAGCAGAGAATCTCCCTTTATTTTAGTGGCCCCTTCTATCAGACACCAACAAGCACGGTCTAATAATTAATGAAAATTTTATCATGATCCATTACTTAAAAGTTTCAAGAAAATTTGTTATATAAATTAAAATGAAAAAGAAAAAGGTGACTAACCCTTTATTCTTTTATATAAAAATTTTCAAGCCCCACCAGAAAAATTCTACTTGATATATCCTATTTTATACATCAAGTTTACCAAAACATGGGTTTTAATTTAATAACTCATTAAGTATGTAATCAGTTGACAGAGACACCCTCTTGATGATTGATTTCACTTTCATCCGGAAAACTACATTGCAATCTGAAACTCTCTCTTATCACTCCCTTTGCTTGATCAATTGAAGTGTTGCTGTTCCAACCAAGGCCAAAGGCCAGATTGATCATCAATGGCACAAAACATGTTGCTGAAGCTCTCTTCTTTCACCATGTGATCAATCTTTTGGCACTGAAGTTCAGGCCTTGAAGTAGTTTGAAAAAGCTGAGCCACTCCTGTTGGTCTTGCAGAAGGTGGAAAGAGGGTTCTGCTGTTTTGCTGAGTGGATAGAGGACTGTCAATAGCTGGGGTCCTTGAGATATCCAACTTGATATCTGAACTGTTCTCACTTCTGTTGCTGCTTGAGCCCTCAGTTTCTTTGTTGAGGTTGATGGATTCAGTTGGTTCTCTACTTTTCAGTGCCAATATCTGCAGCAATGAGTGGTAGAAGTAAAACTAGCTGATCCCAAAATAGCTCAAATAATAACATGCAGGAAAGGTTGAAGTATGAAAGTGTAATCAACATAAATCAAATGTGTCAATGTCAAGATGAATAAAATGATTATTTATTTCCCAACTGAGGAAACTATGCGTGAAAAACATGTAACTGAGTGGAAACCAGTCTTGATGAAGTTACTGTGGATTATAGGAAAAAGCAGCTTTGTGGAAAGTTATCATATCAGTTCCATAAGTTGATGAAAGGAAATAAAGGTTCTGAAATCTATGATTTTCTTTTTTAATATAAAAGCATCATGATTACCTAGCTTTATTGTACAGAATCAAAACAATCTCATGCAGCAGAACTTTTGACATCCCGCTATTTCTTTATCAATTTTGTATAAGAAAAATTGGTCTTCTCTTCAAGGTTCTCTTCCCACATAACACCAAGCTATACAAAAATTAAACATGAAAAAAAAAAATAAAAAAAAAATTACAAACCTCAGTCTGAAGTTTTTGGTTCTGAGCTTGAAGTGCATCATTATCTGCCTTGATAGCTTCATATTGTCTTTTGAGAAGATCATAGTCCTTCTCTAACTGCTTAGTCTTCCACCTAGCCCTTCTGTTTTGGAACCATATAGCAATCTGTCTAGGTTGCAACCCAAGAGCCCTTGCCAACTGCATTTTCCTCTCAGGTTCAAGCTTGTTTCCCAACTCAAAGCTCTTCTCAAGTGTCTTCACTTGTTCTATGTTAAGCCTCCTTTTCTTCTCCCCTGCCTGTGATCCATCATCAGACAACTCCTCCTCAACATTAGCTTCTTCTCCAAGTTCAAGCCCTGAAAATGACATAGATCTCTTGCCTAGAAAGTGTGCTCCTCCTGCATCAACATTTGAAACCCATTATTAATCCCATAATAATAATAATATTGCACTAGGTTGGTGTTCTGTGAGTGTTTGTTTGTGACTTAAGAGAGTACCATGGTACTCTTGAGGTGCACATGAAGTTATAATTGAGTTGAGCGAAGGAGGAGGTTGATGGTCATCTTGGTGAGGTGTTTGTAGCATGAAATTTGCTGGGAAGAAAGCCATATCATTGCTAGCCTGTGCCTGCCACCGATCTTCAATAACTGAATGATATTCTGGTGATCAACATGTTGGATGAGAGCGAAGGTTGTTGATGCTCTTATGCTATTAGATTGTGCTGCTGTGCAAACAAAAATGAAAAAGACTAAGGTCTAATAGACAGCATCTTCTGCTAAAATGAAGAGGATGGACATGTTGTTCCAAAGGCTGGCTTATATAGCATATGAATTCAAGGGAGAGCTTTTTTGTTCTCTTATGTGAATATTTTGAAAGGCTAGACCCAGTTGTTGTGGAAGCAACAATGACAAAGACTAAAAGTCTAATGCACACAACATCATCTGCTCATAAATTGAAGATGGACAAATTGCTCTGAAGAGTGTGGCTTACATATATATATATACCTTATCAGTTTAAGGGGGAGCTTTTGTTCTCTTATGTGATAATTTCTAGAGGAAAAGGTGAGAGGAGAAAGAAAGGAGAAAGAGAAGGGAAAGACAGAGAGATGTTTGAAGCCATAGTTCCATACATCAACTTCAATATATATCACAGTTTTTTTTTACTCATAGTATGTAATAATGTAAATTGCTGCTGTTAAAGTCTAATTTGGTTTCTCTTTTATGTACATGAAAAGGAAAAATAATTAGTTAAGCTTTTTAAACTGAAGAAATGTACATGGAAGTTATTAGATGTCAAAATGACGTTTAGTGTTTGGAAAAAGAATAAAGAAAGAATAATTATTTTTAGAAAGGAGAAAAAGAAAGCTATGTATAGCTTCTGTGCGTCAACCTGTCTAATATTCCATTGGGGTGTGTGCTTGTGTAAGATCATTGCTTGCAATTATTTTCCTAATGATAAATTAGTTTCTCACTTAGGAGACAAGAGTGGGGTTTTTCTTAACAAAGAAAGGTTGTTTTTAAATATAGTAATAGGAATTGCATCTAGAGAGAGGCTTTTCATGCCCATGATTCCGTTGTTAAAGGCTAGGAAATGAAAATTCATATACTATGGTTCTTTAATTTGAGGTGGGTGAATTTGGAGTTTAAAAAATGAAATGTTCCTAATGATATTTTATTAATAAATTAAAGCATAAAAAAAAGGCAGTAGATGGGAAAGTTTCTTAGGAGAAAATACAAAACATGGTGTGGTGACAAACATTTGACGAAGAAAAAGGTTACTTAAGGGAAAAGAGAAATGAGTTGGCTAAAACATTTACATAATTATGAATATTCAAAAAAAAGGAAAGAAAAGAAAATGGATAGTGATTTAATTGGAGGGGTAAGAAGAGAAAGTGAAAGAGAGAAGGGGCAGGAATCTAGGGGATGGGTCCAATGAAGAGGGGCAGGGTTTGCCACCTAACCCACCAACAGGTATCGTGCATTAGGACGAAGGTCTTTCGCATCAACCATTATCCCTTTGCATCAGTTTCAGCCAAGCCCCAATCTCAAATCTGTGTGTATACCTATGTGATGAGGGTTGAAAACCAAAGCTATTCTTGTTGTTATTATGACCCCACCACAGCTCCTCTCTTTTGTCCTTTTCCCTACCTTATATATCTCCATCCATTGCCTCTGCCTCCTCTCACTATAGCTACTGCCAACTTCCTTCCAAATGCCCTGCAACACATGCACTCCCATCTATATTTTATTCATTATTTCTGTTCATTTTTATCAAAATTAATATACAGTTTTATAAATATGGTTTATATAATCAAAACTTTCAATTCAATAATTATTTTTTATCATTTAATAATACTATAAAAATAAATATAATTTGCATCATGATTCCTAGGGTTATATGTATCCTCTTCCGACTATGCTCCAGCTAAATAAATATGCGTATATCAAGAATATAAAATATAATAATTATTAAAAATTTATCATGCTAATGTGCCTAACATTTTACCATACAAGTCAAGTATGAGTACATTTGTGAATGTGATGTATGACTTACGGTGCAAGGCAATTAAGAAAAAATGTAAGGCGTGGCTTTGGCTATATGAGAGAGAGACAGAGAAATAAAGGCTGAGGAAATTACATTCATGCTTCCAGGCAACAACATTTATTGACTCTGTTGGAAACTGTAGTGTCTTCCACTGCTACAAGTTGATAGAGGCTAGAGCAGTTGAGGTGTGTGATATAGTTTTCTTAAATTTTTAATTTTTTGTAATTGGGGCTTTCACACGAACAAGTGAAAACGACTTGTACAATTTTGCTATTGATGATTGCAGTATTTTCTAATTTTCAGACACACACATACATATATATAGGGATGAAATCAGCATCCACTCAATACGTACATTCACTGATAGTGTCAATATAGCAATGAACCTTCATCTACACATTTAAAAAGTAAAAAGTACACTCAACTTTACTACTGTTAATTTTCCGTTATTGTTTTGTCAATATCATCCATCTTATAATATTTCAAACAGCAAGTTTATAGACACATAGGACCCATGAAAGGAATTAAATTTCCAACAAATGGTCCCAATTTAGCTAAATCAGCCACATATATGCACGACCATAAGTTCTTCTCGATTTAACGGCTTTGAGACTTTCTGATTAGTACATCCGTTGATTCAACATTGATAATTGATGCTGAATTTTACACCAATATTTAATCTAGATAAGTTTTTATGATGCATTTCCATGTTTTTGTTCATCCTTCATTGGCAAGGGTTTTCTGTTTTGGTGGATTTCAAACTTAAACCAAGCCTAATGATCATATACACATCCATTGGAAATACTAAAAAATAGGAATGTGTACAATCATGAGAAAAGGAGCAGATAGCCTGAGGAATCTGTGTATCGTGATGATGGGACATGGATAGGGTCCCATGGAAATACTACTTTGATATATAGCCAACGACAAGCAGCTCTCTCTCCTTCACATGCCCTTTATTAGTTGGAAACTGAATGGGTACTCCATTGGCATTGGTGGATTCATGTTCCTTAGTCTTTCTCTTCATTTTCTTTTCCCTCTAAACTTTTCTCTTATTAAATAAGGAATACAAATAAAAAAGTTCAATATTTAAGAGGGGAAAAAAAATAGCTAATGAATCTTCTCCTCCACATGCTCTTATGCTTCTGGTGTGTTCAGCTTACTCAAATACCATGTGCTACCTTTGCTTGACATCTCTTTTTCTTGAGTGTTTCCCTTTTTTATTCTTCCTTCTCAAATTTTCAAATGTTTTGGTTTTTGGGATTTTCCTAAGGAAGAGATATGCGTTGATAGTGATACGTCAACTACTGGTCCAGATATGTTTTTTTATATTTTAAAACATACAAAATTAATCAATATCTTATACACTAGTTAAAAATTAAAAGTAAAAAAAAATATTAATAATGATCTTTCATCATAATTTTTAACATTTTCAATGTGATTTCTAAGAAAATAAATTATTTAATCAATATCCTTAAAAGGTAAATTAAATTTTTTATTTTATTTTTCACTTTCTGTGGAACAGATGGCCCATATATCAGAACCGTCCATTGCGGAGGATTACCTCCCTGATTGGATACATCTGGAAAATGCTATTCATTTGAGAGAGATAAAGAAGTTATATTACTTTACCAAAAGGAGATAACAAAATAAATACTTTCCTAACTAAAGATGTAGGTAAGGTCCCTTTGAAGGTAAAGAAAGTTATATCAATTCACTCCTTAAATTATAGAAAATTACAATAATTTAGTCCTCCAAAAAGTTAACTAAATATTTTAATTATTTAAAATAAATAATGATATTAAATGAATCTTTCATTCTTAACTCTCTTTTTTTCTATATATTATAAATGTACATTTTTTACATTACATATTAAATTATAATTTTGATGAGAAAAGATAAAAAAATAGTGTAAAAATATTCATCAAGAGTATGAATCCGACGTGAAATTGTTATTAAAAATTATAATTTTTATCTCACTCTAAGGATTATTTTTTTAAATATGATATTTAGAAATTACATATACAAAAATATGGTGTTTTTTTTTTTGAAAAATTACAAAAATATAATGTTTAAAAATTGTTATTGAAGATTTTTTATGCAAGTATAAAAGTTAAGAGATCCAAAATCAACAAAGTGGTGGAGGCTCAAAAATTGCTAACGACGATTTTTTTAAAAATTCATAAAATATTAAATTATTAAAAAATAAAAAATAATTAAAATTTGTCATTAACGATTTTTAAAAAAGACTGATCAAAAGTGGTAATTTTTTTTATAAAAAAAAACCATATTTCTGTAATTTTACCAAAAATTTCATATTTTGATATTTAAAAATATCATAATAATAATAATAAAGAAAAGCCTCACTCGAACCTTGATTGGTCATGCATCCATGATTAAGCAAATTAATCGATTCCTGATTTTTATAAGTGCTCTTTTCCTATTAAATAGTGGCTCTCAATTTTTATTTCTTTCAAACATAATATCTTAATTTAAATTTCAAGTCTTGATATAATATATCAAATTTTAAACATATTTTTTTAAAATAAAATACTTTTAAAAATTATTATCATTTTAATCAGTTTTAATTTTAATATACTGTATACAAATGTCTTAATTTTAATAATTTATTTTTTAAATTTTCCTCAATTTTAAGAGTCTTATATCTTTAACTTATTATTATTATTATTATTATTATTATTATTATTTATTGATGTCCTGTATTACTTTTTTTATAAATTTATTTAAATTTTAAAACATCAATACAATAAATAAATGAACAACTCACTAATAACATAATTCTACAATCATTAAAGATAATATTAATTCATTCTATCAGTCTTGGTTAAATTGAACATAGCAATTTTAATGCTACTTTTTCTTTTTCTTTTATGATTGACAGATTAAATTGATATCTGAAGTTATAAATACTGCAAAACAATAACACTGATATCTTTAAAGGAAGAAATTAATTATTTTTTTAATTAGTTTTTTGATCGAGTGTCTTCGTAGACATAGACATAGTATTTAAAATTTTTTAGAAGGGGCAATGGTATAAAGAGGCATAATTTTTTTTTCACCCTGTTTTTATTTTTGAATAAAAAATGATAATGAATCACCTTAATTTTTCTTTTACATATTAATATTTTAAATTTTAATTACTTTATATTTTATATCAATATATACCTTGATTTTTAATATATACCTCTATAAATTAAATTTGATTATTTGTTCCTAAATGAAAATAATTTTAAATTTTATCTTAAATGAGAACATTTTAAAGAGTTATTTTTTTGTTGATTAACCATATTCCTTCTCATGCATTGAATATTTAATTTTTATTAATTTAATATTATTTTAAATTTTAAATTTTAAAATTGTCACGTAATATATATTTTATTTTTTAATTCAAAGTTTAACATAACAACATCCATGCTACGCCCAGAAAATTTACAAATTTTTAATTAATTCTTCAACTTTATCACTTTTATAAATAACTTAAATTTTAAAGTTGTAGTTAAATTATAAAAGTAAAAAATTTAACTATTTATTTACCTTAAATTATAATTATTTATTAGTAATTTTTTATATAATTTATCTTTTTCAAATATTAAAATTTAGTAAAGTTTTAAATTTAAAACAAA